TGAGTATTGTCTCTTCATCCCTCCTGACCCCGCTTCCTGTCTTCTTTTTTCCTGCGCACTCCCCATTCAGTCTGGAACCCTCTTGCTGGTCAAGAGTTCCCGGCAGCATCCCACTTTCATCAAATGTTTGTGGAGCACCTTCCCGGAGCCTGCAGCCAGGCAGGGGCAAGCCAGTGATCACCATGGTGATGACCTGGCTGGAGCCTGGGGCGGGGCCCTGCATCCCAGATTACTCAGTGCTGAATGCCAGAGTGTGCGTCCTGTCCACAGGCAGGGTTCAAATCACAATGATCGTCGCTAACTTTCTGCCACTTAACTTCTCTGAGCCTCAATATTCTTGTTTCAAAAATAAAAATGATGAATCCCAGCTCGCGGGGTTGCCGGAGTGTTCGTGACTGATCCCAAGTACTGAGCAGGCGCTGGACCACGCAGCAAGCTCAGTGCTCACACTGTGGGCCCCTGAGATGCAGGAGGTGGATGGGCTTTCCTGTGGAGTAACCGGTTTCAGAGAATGCCGATGAGTCCTTTGGAGACGTGAATAGCTCACACCCTTCGAAGCTCACCTGGGCCTGAGGGCAATCTCCAGATTCGATTTAGAGTATTTCAAGAAAGGGGAAAACAAGAGACATCTGAAGCCCTTGAAAAGTATCCTGTTAGCCTGCCATATACGTGGAGTGAGAGGGAAACAGTGATCTTCCAGGCTCCCAGGCCTTTCGGACTTTGGCAAATTCCAGCACAAATAGGGAAGGAAAATGCTGAGAGCTGTCTCTTGCAAGTGAAGGGAGTATAAACAATAGTGCTTCTTTATCTGGGCCTTCTGATCTCAGGATTTCAAAGAACGCTAGACAAGTACCTAGTGGCAGATAAGATTTTTCTCTATTTTCTATATGGGTAGTTGGAGGCTCAGTTGATAGGAACAGAACCAAGAATGCAATGTAGGTCAGATGCTTTAGAGCCGAGGAAAGGTGTTACAGTTGCAGGAATGCGGTGGCTTTTAAATTTAAGTGTTCGTCAAAATACCTGAGACTCTCTCTCAAAATGCACACTCCTGGGCCCCACCCCAGGAAATTGGGATTCAGGAAATCTGGGCGTGGGCCTTGGATTTTGAACCTTAACGCTGGCTTTCAGGTGCTGTGTTTATCATACTCTGAGAAACTCTGATCTAGGGAGAGTCAGAAGGCTGTGCCTTCTGTTTAGGGCATGGCGGTGAGTGACGAGGCGCATCTCTGGGTATTTTATCCAGGGATAGAAATCTGTAACAATTATACTATTAAATTTTATCTTCTAGAGGGAAAGGCATGACAGAATACACGCTCAAGAGGCTTAGCCTAACTCAGTGTTTCTTTTTCTTTTCTATTTTATTTGAGACAGGCTCTTACTCTGTCGCCCAGGCTGCAGTGCAGTGACCTCATCACAGTTCACCGCAGCCTAGAACTCCTGGGCCCAAGTGATCCTCCCACCTCAGCCTCGCAAGTGACTGAGTCTACAAGTGTGCACCACCACGCCCAGCTATTTATTTATTTATTTATTTATTTATTTAGAAGGATGGGGTTTCACCATGATGGCCAGGCTGATCTTGAACTCCTGACCTCAGGTGATCCACCCACCTTGGCCTCCCAAAGTGCTAGGATTACAGGCGTGAGCCACAGCACCCAGCCATTTATTATTTTAGAGATGGGATCTTGCTACATTGCCAGGCTGGCCTCAAGCTCCTTGGCTCCGGCGATCCTTAGCCTCCCCACATATCGGGACTTACAGGTGGGCCACTCCCACTGCATCCAGCCAAGACTCTTTTT